GAAAGGAAGGAGAGGTCTGCACAGCAAATGGCACATGTTTCCATTTGTTTATGTTCAGCACTTGAATAACTTTAGTATTTGCACAGCTGAAGGAAAGGAAAGCACCCTGAGAATAGACACCATGAGGAACTCTAGAAGCTTGCAAACGAGAAAAACATGAGATGGAAAAGAGCCACAAATGTTATAAGTAAGAAGGACCCCAGCCAAAATAAACCACATGTTGGGGTGCTCTCTTCTAAAGGGAGTCAATAAGGGGCACATTGAAATAATTATCCTGACAGTTCTCAATGCTGCTTCTTTATTTTTGTTATGAAGATACCAATGCAGAGAAATTCGGAGCTTGGGAAGATAGACATTTCTGCACAGTATAGTGAAACTACCAGAGGCTCTGGATCAGACAAAACAAATGGTTAATTCCATCTCTATAATTTTCAAAGATGATGCGTGGGGGTTTTACTTAATCTCTCAGAATGTCAGTTTCCTCCTCTGTAATGCAAGAGTAAGGCTAAAAAAGTATGATGAAGTTAAAAGTTGTGTGTTTTGGTTTTTTTTTTTAAGAAAAAGCCCTTTGTCCACTTTAGACATCATATTTTCTCAGTTTCATCTGGTTTTACTTCTTCCTCTCTCCTCCACTTACTTTTTGATTGGGACCACAAACACTGCATATATGTGTTTACATGATGCTGTTTAGTACATATATACACACACACAATTTGGGGGACTTGATTTCTCCTTTCAGATTAAGGTGAAACATTTCACCCTCGATTTATAGGCAGAGCAGGTTACAAAACCGTAGACCAATGCGTGACCAACTGCCCCGCCTAGCAAACATTAACTAAATGGTGGTTTTAACAGTTCCTCTTACCCCTGTAGGTGCCCTTAGGCCTTTGCTATAGTGAGACCAGTTGCAAACTCACCTGTCTTGTACTGTCTCACTTTGGCCAGTGGGATGATCAGCACAGCACTGCTTATAACTATTCTGCCCTTGCTATGTCTGGGTAATGAGATTGATTGTAAGCTGGACCTTCCTCGATGTAGAAAAATAGAAACCATAGAAGATACGGCAAGCCAATTAGCCATAAGGAGAATAGATAGGCCTTTCACACAAACCAAAACCCATGCGTCCTTAGCCTCACCGGCTATAAGTTTTTACACCTTTGTTATCCTTTCTCTCCTCCCAGGGTTAGCACCATACATGACACCCTGAAGGCTGGTGAATAACTGATCATCCTAGCAGATTTGTCATTTAACATTAGCCTGGCAGCTGCCCTGTTTGGGTTATGTGTGCATTCTTCCAGAACTGAGTCTCAATAATGGTGATATGTTGTCTGCCCATCTAGCAGACAGTCAGTTCCCACATCCTGCCCCACCCCCACCCCCGGGATCCTGCCCTAATCTCTAACTGCCCACGGTCACCTAATATAGACTGAAAATGGGACAAGGAGAAACACAGAATTTAAAAACAAGTGCTCAGTCAGAGGGAGATCAATGTAGACCTTGTTTACCACTTGGCTAAAGGGCTCATTGTTTACCACATTGGCTAAATAAGGTTGCCTTTCATGGTGTGGATTTTTGTTAGGTGGTATATTGGCAGTGAAATTCACCTTATTTAGTCTCTTTCTTTCTTTCTTGTAGCAAGTGGCGAAGGAGTTGAAAACACACTGTGGCAGCCCCAGCAATGGAAATAGTTTGGTTACAGAGACACTGACAAGTTCAGCCATAAACTTCTTCCTCGCTAGCCTCCCAAGGCACCGAGTTCTATGATTAGGATCCCATTATTTTGCCTACAAGAAAAGATCTCATCTTTTATTGTTAGAACCATTTAATTTAAAATACGTAGGGCCTTGAGGGAAACCTAAAGTACTACTCTGCTTATATTAGGGTTAGGAAGAAGCATCAGGGACAAGAATAATTAATAGGACAATTAATAAGGCAAGACAAGTGTAGGTACTGAGATCCTGGGGGTAGGAAAGATCTTTTTCTGATATAGAGTGTGTGTGTGGAGGGGCAGGGGGAAGGCATCTTGGGTCTTGGGGATGGGAGGGGGGCTGCTGAGGACAAAGGAAGATTGCAATACGACAAATGTAAGGGAAGTTTAATCTAGAGCCAGATCTCTGCAGATGAAATAGAAATATATTAACTGTGACTCGATTTAAAATTTAAATGCATTGGCTTTCAGAATGGACCATCTGAAAATGCTTTATAAAAAACCAGTAGAGTTCTTTTCCAAAATTTAGCCTAGTCATGAAGCACATGGATAGCATACACTGCCTGAAAGCTACAATACCAATGATTTGTTCTTTCTTCTTTTCAGAACAAACAATAACTCAGAAAGCAGAAAGTGATCAAAGATATATATGAATGAGCTTAAAAGTAAGGCAAACAATTTTAAGTATAACTGAAAAACAAAAACAAGTAAGGTGTTACATTCTTTAAAACTTTTGCAATTATTTAAAATACTTCCTTTCATTTTAGGGGCTCCTGGGTGGCAAAGTTGGTTAAGCATCTGACTCTTGGTTTCGGCTCAGGTCGTGATCTCATGGTCATGAGATCAAGCTCTGCACTGAGCCTTGCATCAGGCTCCACCCTCAGTGTGGAGTCTGCATGGGTTTCTCTCTCTCTCTCCCCATAAATAAAGAAATAATTAATTTTTTAAAATCTCCTTTCAAAAATAATAAAAAATAATAAAAAATAAAAAATCTCCTTTCATTTTAGAAATCAAAGGTAACAACAATTATTATCTGCTTAGGACACCAGTTCAACTGTAGAGCTATATAACACAAAATTGGAAACAGATGAAGGTGACTATGTAAGAAAACTGGGGTTTTCTGAATATATTTTTATTTTTTACTGAATAATGCAGTAGATTGTTCTAATACTTTCATATTGCAGGAATAATAATAGTAAATGAAAAAATTAATATTCATTAAGCTTTTATTAAGTATCAGAAATTTCTAAAATTGTTACATGTAAAATGTCCATGACATGATGTGGTAGAAACCGTAATCTCCATTTTATAGGTAAGAAAACTAAGAGTTCAGCAGACCTAACTAATAGCTTACTACAGTAAATGCTAGAGCCAGGAATTTAAGGGCAATTAGAGAATCTTAGGAGGGAATTTAAATTCATTTGGCTTTGGCAAAATGGTTTCCCATTGGTACCTAATTAACATCTTCAAAGCAAACAATTGCTTAGAAGCAATTGTAATAGGTCAGCTTAAACCTACTACTACCTTGAACTGTGATCAGGCAATCCTATAATCAGGCACCAAAAGTATAACCTATTTCAATCTCATTCAAAACAATTTCTCTCATAAGTGGCCACCACCTTCCCATATTCAAGTTACTCTTCATTTATTACAATCCTATTTTCCGCCCAAGTGTTTAACATAACAGGAAGAGAATTCCAAAATCATGCCAAACCTTTAATGCATTCCACAATTAATCTCCAACCCACTCATTTATTAATTCGTTCAATGAATATTGAGTGCCCACCACATACTAGTCACAATTCTTGATGCCCAAGCTTTTATGGACTTCCTTGTATTTTGGTAGGAAAAAGAGACACCAGATAGATAAAATAATGTCGATATGTTCTTGTGTCAAAATCTGGGAGTTGTCACACAGTAACCACTTAACTCCTTTGTCAGTAAGTTATCTTCTGAATTTTAGCTGGGCACACAGCCACACAGAATAAAATCTATATTTCCCAGCCTCTCTTGAGCTCTGTATGGCTACTTGACTAAGTTCTGGACAAAGGGATGTAAGCTAAAGAGATCTGAGCAATATCAGGACATGTTCTGAAGAAGAGACAGTGTGCCTTTCTCATTACTTTTTCCTTTTTCTGCTAACTAAAATATGAACATGCTGGCTAGAGCTGGAGCAGCCACTGAGGCCCAAGGGGACTGCATTTTAGGGGATAATGGAGCAAAAAATTAGAAGGCAATTGAGCCCCTGATGATTATGTCAATCACACCAACCCTAGATTATTTACCTCTGGACTAAGTTTATATGTGGGAAAAACAAACTTCTGTCTTTTTAAAATTTCTGTTTTGGGGGTTTTTCATCCACTTCCATTTGACTTTAATATTAATGAAAAATATAACGAAAAATGAAGCAAAATTAGGAACCAGAGCATGGCACCATGTGATATTTTAGACATGGTGACTGGGGAAGTGCTTTATAAGGAATCAGTAATTGAATGGAGTCCTGATTGCTTGGGAGAGTGAGCCACATGGGTAGAGGAAGAGCATGTTCCATCAAGCAGGAAATAGTAAAAGCAAAGCCCAGAAATGAGAACATACTTCTTCTGTGCTCAAAGACCAGCAAGGAGGCCAATAAAGCCACCTTCCAAACCTGTTATCCTCTCATTTTCCCAAACAGGAATCCTTCACTTCAGACCTTGCAAAGATTAGTCAGCTTTGTAGGCTCTCTTCTTTATAGGTCTCTTCAAAAAGTATGACCCAGTTATGAGTCTCCGCTTTTACTCAAATAGCTTCATGGTTCAACCTTTACACCATTGCCAAGTGTTCCCCCACTTTGCCATTCAAATATTACCCATTTTTCTGTACCTAGCATAAGTTCTCACTCCTGCTTAAGGAATGGCTCTACTGGTTCATCCAACATTGCTTTCTTCATTCTTGAAACTCCATAGATATTACCCATACTTTCATTGTAATGGTTAATGATCTATCATCTGTTCTAATTCACATACGTGTCTCTTGCCACCTCAAGAAGATGCAGCATAAGATCTACATCTTAACAAGTTTTAAAAATCCCTTTTGGCTACTATCTCCTCAAAGAGAAGGTGCTCCATAAAAACTTTCTGTATGTTCCTTCAACCATCTCACAAACTAGAAACACAATGGAAAGAACCTAATCTTTCTCTGTTCCTCCCTTTCGCCAGGAAGATATGAGTAGCTGAAGTATTTGGTGCTATATATAGTCAGTTGATGTCAGCTGGATGCCAGTCTCTTCAGAAAGGCTCAGTCCCCAGTTTGAGTCAGAGCTAGGGACCATGCCGTCCCAGGCTCAGGGATAAAAACCATCGGGCCCAAGGGCCATCCATATTCCATCTCCACTCTTTCCTCCACAAACTGGGACTCATCCCCGCTGCAAAGCACAGCCTAAGAGCAAGGTGAGTATATTGTTTCTTAAAATGTTTTATTAGTCAGTTGTCCAAGGAGGTTCAGGGTTATGACTCATAAATGGGCATTCTTTGCTTTAAAGGGCAGCTGTTGATGCTAATATTAAATGCCACCACCAAAGAGTTCTGGTTTAATCTAGTGTCCTTTCTTCGTTCTTACAGTTTGCTGGAACTGATGTACCGTGATGCTGGTACAAATGAAGGCCAGTAAGGAAACGATGACAGATTAAAATAAACTGTGGAAAAGAAAGAGGGAGGGGAGAGGAGGCAGCTCTCTCATTGTTTCTCATTGCCTGGGGACCATTGTACAAGTGTATAGATAAGACTGGGACTGAAACTCTGAGTATTATCTTCTGTTCACTGTGACATTGCCTGTCAATGAATAACATGCTCTGTCACAAGATAGATAAGGCATATTAAAGTCACTCAGTAGAAACAATAATAAATTCCTAATAAAGAACGAAGATGCTCTCTTTCAAAAGGATGATTATAAAATACTCCAGAGGAGTTCTTCACATTGCCTCAATAACGTTCCTTTATTTTCCACAGGGAACAAAAGACCATGCTTTCACATAATACCATGGTGAAGCAGAGAAAACAGCAAGCATCAGCCATCATGAAGGAAATCCATGGAAATGGTATCAGTGAAAATCCTTTTTTAGCTTTACTCTAGCTCAGCATTAACAAAGATCCTTCCTGATGATATTTAATATTCTATAGTTTACTTCCTTTAAATTCTTGCTATTCTGTCATAACAAACCTGGAGCTCTAGGGGGTGTAGAAAAGCCTATGGTAACTAATCCTTTTGTAGTCATCCTTTCTCATCTGAAAGCTATTTTCAGATGAACAACTGCTCTAAAGGAATGAAGCAATCTGACAGCTGATGTACATTCTGCTTGGCTTGCCTTTCACATTTCACATTATAAGTTAATATCACTCTCAATTCCTTTTTTTGGACAGGTCTCATACTTGTCTTCATGGTCCAACCCACATGGCATATCTTGCTTTCTTTTACCTTATATATTACATAAAACATTAAAAATATATTCTATCATCTTTTTTGTACAAAAACTCTTAAGTTGGAATTCAGATTGTGAATTTCTATAACCCCTAAACCAGCCTTCATATTTAGTAATTGGTTTACTAAGATATTTTCAATAGAAATCTACTTTTATTTATGATGTCTAGGGAAATATAAAGTTTATGTAGTCTCAAAGCATATGACTCAAAAAATTTAATATAAATTAGATGCAAGACGATATTCCATTCTCCTTTTCCTTAAGTTCTAGCAAATACCTCTAGAAAGCAATGCTTTATAAATTGCATTTTGATTGTTATAAAGGAAACTTTATGAGCGAAGGATAGCATCAATTTTAAAAGTGAATGGGTAGAATATCCAGATGCTTTTAAGGGCTGATTTGAGCCATTCCAGATATATCTGTGGAGTTTTCAGAATGCCTCCTTATTTCCCCTCCATTGACAAGGAATGTAACCTTTCACCTGAACACTATTGAGACCTAGAGGCATGAGATCTGGTGGGGGCAGCCGGGAACAGGGGTAAGTATAGTGTTTTCATATTTCACCTTCCAGAAAGCACACTGCATAGAACCAATCAAAGACTGTTTTAGATACTCTCCATACAATGTAGACATATCTGAAGAGTCCTGTTGTTAAGTTTCGTTTTCTATTTTCTGCAATATAAAATTAGCATACTGGATTCAACTTAGTTTCCATGTTTTACTATGATGTCAGACTAGCTTGGAATAAAGTGAGAATAATTCTGAATCAGATTCCAGAACTAAACTTGTACCTGTCCAAAGTTCAAAAATTCACACTTCTTTTAAATTTTTATGCTTCTTTATAGTTCCTGGTTCAGGTAGCTTACTTGAAATTGTTTTTATAGTTTTCCTGATCAACAAGGAAAAACTGGATGAACACTTGAGCTTGAGAATAAATTATTTACCTTAAAACTGGACTTGAGATAAGTTATTTTTTAATTGCATTCTAATCATTAATCAATTGATCCATTTAATGTATTCCCAGTTTAAATCATGTGTTGGATTCTACTCTATGTTAGTCCTGACATAGACCTACAAGGGTAAGAATATCTTTTTCTTTTTCTTATAACGTAAATTTTGTGTTTATGAAAATAAAGAAATAATACAATTCTATCTCAAGGGGAAAAAAACCCTCCAAACTATTATCTTACCACGAGTAGGTCCTGGCCATGTAAAGTCTGCTGAAGCCTCCCTCCCAAGTCATGGGTAGATTTCCAACCCCCTTAAGTGGAGTCACATGCTCTGCCTATGTTTGGAGGTCAAGTATCCAGATAATGCAGAATGATCGCAGACTTTCTTAACTCATCTCAGATAAAATAGCTGTAGTACTTTATGAAACAGCTTAAATAATTTCCCTCTCTTATTTCCTCTGACATCTTATATGGAACTTTACCATTTGTATATGATATGGTGTCCAGAGATCCGGAGCTAGGGAAGTGTCGTGGATGCCGAGATGAGACAGAATGCAAAGAAACCTTTTCGGGAATAATCCTCCAAACTTTCAAATACTTCACAGCAGTAAAAATCTGGATAATTTAAGATAGAGCATGCAACTGTTTCGATCTTAATTATAACACTTAGTAAATCAAACTTGGGTTGGCTCTTCCCTTATAAAACTGAACAGAGAAAGATGTTTTCAAAGCCCTCCTTCTCTCCTTGTGCATCAGGACTTTTTTTCTTTTGTACATTGTAACTCCTTTATTTTTTATATCACTTTTCAAAAACATTTAGCCTGGAGAAGGATGAAACGTGACAATGAACTGACTAAATGGGTTGTCTTTTAACATGAACTGCAAGTTCACCCCAGTTCTTGTCATTTGGGAGAGACACTATAGCTGGTGAAACTTTGAGATCAATCGGTAGGAAAATGTAAGAATCAAAAAAGGAGAGTTGTACATCAGAGCACTCATTCCATCTGAAGGAGAAATAACCGCCAAGAATTAATGAAAAATCCTACCCATCTAGACTAAAATACATAGAACTGGATAGAATGAATAAAAATGTAGATAACTACCAGCCTCTACTAACTACACCCCAAATTGTTACTCATTACAGATCCATTATGTTTGTTGTGTCAGATTATGTCCCAGCAGCAAATATACCACACTCCCAACAAATAATTAATAGAAAGTATCCCCTGACACTAAGGCTCTATTCTGTCACATCGTTACATCATTATATCATGACCATCGTCATGATGATCATCATCAGTATTAGAAGGAATAGAGCTGATGGTAGCAACTGTCTTGCATTACTGCTGTGAAACAAAACTTCTGTCCTTTATACAGAAGTAAGAGAACCATGTTGCTACCATCTAACAAGTGTTATTCTAAGACAGGCAAAAATACAAAAATATTTTGCCATTATCCATGCATGAATTAGTTGTGGGGGCAAGAATAGTTGGCTTATCAAAGTTTCATGCCCACTAGCCCTGTGCCATTTACCTTTAGTTCGTACATATTCTCCGGTATTAATCCTGTTCCTCTTCTCACTAGATCTTTCAGACTTGAATACTGGAGGAGGAAGGAGAGAGAAAGGGAAGCATAAAATGATAGCGAGTGATAAGTTGACAGAAAGAGGAGGGGGAGTAAGAAGAGAAGCAGGTGATGCTGTCTAGAGACACTGGCATCTGTCCCGATGTGATGGGGAGAAGGAATTGGAGTGAAAATAACCATAAGAAGAACTGGGCGTATGTTGACCCCCAGTCTTACACACAGATGTAACTGACAGGTTAGAAGAACTTCAGAAACAGGAAAGACCACAGTGCCTCGGAAGGCTGCTTCAGTCACCCTACAGTTTTTTCACTGGGGCTCTGTGAGGGCTTTTTTGGGATGTTTTTTGTTTATGTTTTTAATTTTTCCCTGCATGACTGGTGAACAGCTTTTCCCAGCACACAGAAGAGGACTGAGCAGCCTGTTTTTGTGACTTCAGGAAAAGAGTTTAGCTTTGTGGTCTGAAAACAGGAAGCCTGGGTTCTAAATGGAGTGCTGTTGTTGATAGGGTACCAGGAGCCCTGGGTTCCAGACCAGACCTCAGATGCCTCATCTGAACACGAGGAGGTTGGATTTGCTGATCCATTTAATTCCAAAATTCCATGATTCTAATTTACTGAGCTGTGTGCTGCAGTCAAACATCAGCATATCTGAGTTTCTCCAATAACAAAGACAGTGCTAATATTGACATAAATTGCAAGGGCACTTTGAAAAGTATAGAGTGTAAAATCTAGAAATTCAGATGGAAGATTATGTGAAGACCGCTTTTGCTTTTCCCGCGTCAGCATACCTTAAACTATAATGTTTTAATCAAGCCATCAATGTTAAAATTAGGACACTGAGAAGGCCTTAAATACCACAGACCAAATATGAAAAGTTTGGGGAGAAAAAGAACTTAACCTAATGCTTCAGTGTACAAGTTTATTAGTCTTCCTTGGTTTAAATTTTCACATCAGCACTCCATAACCCCAAGAAAAAAGTGTGCTTTTTTGGGAAACTGGTGTGCAGTAATATCTTGTGAATTCATAAGATTTTTTGAGCATGCCATAGGTTTTTAAACTTCTATAAAGGTCCTTCAGGAAAGTAGCAGCAGAGAGCTAGAATAAATTCTAGTTACTGTCCAAGTAGAAATTACGGTATTAAGTCCAACCATACAATTCTATCATCCTAGTTTCTTTGTTGTCTTTTTCACTCTAATATGCTGTACATGTGCATTTCATAAACAGTACTAGATGACTGTGTAATTCCAAATTGTGTAATTCAATATATTGGTAATCTCATTTCTTAAATGTTTAAAAAAATTAGTTATTAAATGATAATATTTTATAGTAAGTTTTTGAAAATTTTATAAAATAGCTGTAGAACTCAAATCAAAGCAAAGAGATATAAAATAGGAAATTAAAGAATCTCAGATGGATTTCAAAATCAACTTTTTAATGCAAAGAAAATTATTAATGACCTTATTATCAACTGTAGTCTTTTCAGGCATTATTCAAAATTACAGTCTGGACTATTATCTTTCATGTAATATGTATATGTGTATGTTACATTTTGAAATAAAGCATATTTTATGGACTATTATTCAATCCACTCAGGCCAACTATCTGTATACAAGCAGAAGAGACCTGTGCAAGTACAAAGAAAATCATTGGCCTCAGGCTTCTAAGTAAATCAATAGGACCACCCTAGAGCAAGTCAGTTTCGTTAACTCCCCTCCACTGGTTTTGCCCATTCTACCAGAATTGCAACTGCCAGGGAATCATGGGAAAAGAGTTTTTTTTTTTTATTAAGATCTTTTGTCTTACTACAATTATGTGTAAATGAGTATCTTTATAAACTATGAATTAGATTCACTGATCTAAGTAAATATGTAACTTTTGGTAGGATCAAAATTTCACATTAAATATGTAGAACTACCTGTGCATACACAAATCATTTGATCAAGTTTCAGAACGTTAATGTATGAAATAAATATGAAAAAAAGAATGTTTCCTTTTGGAGGAACTTAAGTCCAGTGTTTGTTCATAAGACTATGCATTAATGTAAGGTTTGAAAAAGGAACTGATCACATTTTCAAAGATCACATAT